ATCCCTCCACGTGGCACCCTCTTCCCCAAACCGCCTTGCCGGCCGGGCAGTCTCAACTGCCTTGCCCGTGACGCCGTACCTCTCGAGCATAGCTGTCACGCTGACACCGGAACGCCATACCTGCAGGCGCAGAGAAAGGTGCACGCGCAGGGAAGCCTGGGAGCGAACGGAGAGCGACGTGGGACAAACGTCATTAAGGGAGCGTGTCTGCGCAGAAGCAGGAGGATAAAGAATGGAATGCGGTTTGGATAAATTTACTGAAAACGCGAATTGCGTATTTGCTGGGTTGCTTAACAACTGTTCTAAGGCTTTACAAAGGACAAGACCAGGAGGAAAAAAACAAACAAACTAAAACAAAAACAAACAAAATAAACGCGGCCTGGACAAGGCACGTGGTTTAGTGAGCCACTTTGGGCCCCAGGGATGTAAGTATTCCCAGCTGCATAGAGGCGGGTACGGGACTGGCATGGTTACTGAGCAGCGCTGCCCAGTAGAAATAGAAAGCAAGGGGCTGGAGGAGGTGGCTCACGCCTGTAATCCCGGCATTTTGGGAGGTCGAGGCAGGTGGATCACCACAGGCCTGGAGTTCGAGACTAGACTGGCCAACATAGCGAAACCCTGCCTCTCGGCCGGGCGTGGTGGCTCACGCCTGTAATCCCAGCACTTTGGGAGGCCGAGGCCGCCAACTGAGGTTGGGAGTTTGAGACCGGCCTGACCAACATGGACAAACCCTGTCTCTACTAAAAATACAAAATTAGCCGGGTGTGGTGGCGCATGCCTGTAATCCCAGCTACTTGGGAAGCCAAGACAGGAGAATCACTTGAACCCAGGAGGCAGAGGTTACGTTGAGCCGAGATCGCGCCATTGCACTCCAGCCTGGACAAGAGCAAAACACTGTCTCAAAAAACAAACAAAAAAAAGAAACCCTTGGCTGGGAACAGTGGCTCACGCCTGTAATCCCAGCGTTTTGGGAGGCCGAGGCAGGCGGATCACGAGGTCAGGAGATCGAGACTATCCTAGATAACATGGTGAAACCCCGTCTCTACTAAAAATACAAAAAATTAGCCAGGCGTGGTGGCGGGTGCCTGTAGTCCCAGCTACTCCGGAGGCTGAGGCAGGAGAATGGCGGGAACCTGGGAGCTGGAGCTTGCAGGGAGCTGAGATCGTGCCACTGCATTACAGCCTGGGCAGCAGAGCGAGACTCCGTCTCAAAAAAAAAAAAAAAAAACAACCCTGTCTCTACTAAAAATACAAAAACTAGCCGGGCGTGGGGGCGGGCACATGTAATCCCAGATACTCGCGAGGCTGACGCAGGAGAACCGCTGGAACCCGGGAGGCGGGGTTGCAGTGAGCAGAGATTGCACCACTGCCCTCTAGCCTGAGCGACATAGTGAGACTCTGTCTCAATTAAAAAAAAAAAAAAAAAAAAAAAGTAAGGCTGGTCACGGTGGCTCACGCCTGTAATCCCAGCACTTTGGGAGGCCGAGGCAGGCGGATCACGAGGTTAGGAGATTGAGACCATCCTGGCTAATATGGTGAAATCCCGTCTCTACTAAAAATACAAAAAAATAGCGGGCATGGTGGCGGGCACCTGTAGTCCCAGCTACTCGGGAGGCTGAGGCAGGAGCATGGCGTGAACCTGGGAGGTGGAGCTTGCAGTGAGTGGAGATCGAGCCACTGCACTCCAGCCTGGGTGACAGAGCGAGACTCCGTCTCAAAAAAAAAAAAAAAAAAGTAAACAATTTGGCCAGCCTGGCCAACATGGAGAAATCCCGTCTCTACTAAAAATACAAAAACATTAGCCAGGCGTGGTGGCACGTGCCTATATAATCCCAGCTACTTGAGAGGCTGAGGCGAGAGAATCACTTTAACCCGAGAGGGGGGAGATTGCAGTGAGCCAAAATCACGCCACTGCACTCCAGCCTGGCGAATTCAGCGAGACTCTGTCTCAAAAAAAAATTAATTTAATATAATTAAAAAAATAGTTTGGGCTGGACACAGTGGCTCACATCTGTAATCCCAGCAGTTTGGGAGGCCAAGGTGCCTGGATCAGATGAGGCCAGAAGTTCGATAGCAGCCTGGCCAACATGGCAAAACCCTGTGTCTACTAAAAATACAAAAATTAGGTCAGTGTGGTGGCCGGCGCCTGTAATCCCAGCTACTTAGGAAGCTGAAGCAGGAGAATCGCTTGAACCTGGGAGGCGGAGGTTGCCATTAGCTGACATCACGATACTGCACTCCAGCCTGGCTGACAGAGGGAGACTACATCTCAAAAAAAAAAAAAAAAAAAAAAAAAAAAAAAGCTAATTAAACCAGGCACTAATTTGTATCTTGTCAAATATCTGAAACCTTTTAGAGAACGGAACACTCAATGTTCAAGGGGTGAGAATTGGTACAATTTCATCAAAGAGCAACTTGGTAACAGCTATCAAAATGTTTAAATGTATTTTATCTACTCTTTGACTTAGCAATTCTACTTCTAGAAATGTACCCTACAGATATTCTGGCAAAAATACGTGAAGATCCACATTTTTAAATGTTGATGGCAACATTGTTTGAAAATGGTAAAAGACCGTTGGTCAAATTGGTCGTGGTGGCTCATGCCTGTGATCCCAGCACTTTGGGAGGCCAAGGCAGGTGGATCACCTGAGGTCAGGAGTTCTAGACCAGCCTGGCCAACATGGTAAAACCCCGTCTCTACTAAAAATACAAAAATTAGCCGGGCGTGGTGGCAGGTGCTGTAATCTCAGCTACTAGGGGGACCAAGACAGGAGAATCGTTTGAACCCGGGATGCAGAGGTTGCAGTGAGCCAAGATCGCGCCATCGCACTCCAGCCTGCGGGGGACAAGAGTGAGACTTTGTCTCAAAAAAAAAAGAAAAAGAAAGAAAATGGTAAAAGACTAACGACCTAAAATGGTAAAAGACTAACAGCCTATGTGTCCCTCAATAAGGAACCTGTGAAATTATGAAAAATACATTCAATGGAATACCATGTAGGCATGAAAAAAAATGAGTTTAGATCTATATGTTCTGACTTGTAAAGATCTCCAATATATATTAAATGAAAAAGGGCACAGTGCAAGATACGGATGGTATGATTCCAGTTGTGTACACACACACACATATATCACATTTGCTAATTATGATTAAGTTTTAATAATATACTGCATATAAATAATACATACTATATATGTTCATGTTCCATGTTATATATTGTTTTGTATATTATATAATTATACCTTAGAACTATGTAGTATAAAATAAATTATAGGTATTATAGTATTTGTAATGCAGTATGGGGCCAGGGAAGGTAGCTCAGGCCTATAATCCCAGCATTTTGGGAGACTGAGGCAGGAGGCTTAAGGCCAGGAGTTCGAGAGCAGCCTGGGCAACATAGCAAGATTATATCTTTACAAAAAATATACATATATTATATATAACATGCTTTATATATATTATGTTATATATATTATATAACATATAACACATATATAACATATATTATATATAAAAAACATATTATATATGGGATTTTTTTGAGATGGAGTTTCACTCTTGTTGCCCTGGCTGGAGTGCAATGGCGTGATCTCGGCTCACAGCAACCTCCGCCTCCCGGGTTCAAGCCATTCTCCTGTCTCAGCCTCTGGAGCAGCTGGGATTACAGGCATGAGCCACCATGCCTGGCTAATTTTGTATTTTTAGTAGAGACAGGGTTTCTCCATGTTGGTCGGGCTGGTCTCAAACTCCCAACCTCAGGTGATCCACCCACCTCAGCCTCCCAAAGTGCTGGGATTACAAGCGTGAGCCACTGTGTCCAGCCTACAAAAATATTTTTTAACTTAGTCAGGTGCAGTGTAGTCCTAGCTACCCAGGAGGCTGAGGCAGGAGGATTACTTGAGCCCAGGATGTCAAGGCTCCAGTGAATAATGAATGTACCACTGTATTCCAGCCTGGGCAAGAAAGCAAGACTTTATCTCAAACATAAATAAATAAATGAAGTTTACTTTTAAAGTAAATCCTAATAGTTTACCATGAGTTCAAGAGCAAAGTCTGTAGGCAATGCATTTATTTTGTTTAAGTTATAGTCAGTTGTACATATTAGGCACTCAAAAAATATTTATGGACAAATGGAATAGCTGTTGAATGGACAAATAAACATAGACCTTAACTAGAGTAACAATCAGTTTTAAAAGTATAAAGAGGGCCGGGTGTGGTGGCTCACACATGTAATCCTAGCACTTTGGGAGGCTGAGGTGGGTGGATCACTTGAGGTTAGGAGTTCAAGACCAGCGTGGCCAACATGGTGGAACCCCATCTCGGGTGAAAAATACAAAAATTAGCTGAGTCTGGTGGTGCACATCTGTAGTCCCAGCTACTTGGGAGGCTGAGGCAGGAGAATTGCTTGAATCCAGAAGGCGGAGGTTGCAGTGAGCTGAGATCATGCCGCTGCACTCCAGCCTGGGCAACAGAGCAAGACTCCATCTTGGGGGAAAAAAAAAAAAGTATAAAGAGATTTCTAGAGTGTACAGGAAGCTGAAGTGGCTGGTTCTAGAGATGACAGAATTAGCTGTAAGAAATCAGAGCACAGGCCGGGCGCGGTGGCTCAAGCCTGTAATCCCAGCACTTTGGGAGGCCGAGATGGGCGGATCATGAGGTCAGGAGATCGAGACCATCCTGGCTAACACGGTGAAACCCCATCTCTACTAAAAAATACAAAAAACTAGCCGGGCGAGGTGGCGGGCGCCTGTAGTCCCAGCTACTCAGGAGGCTGAGGCAGGAGAATGGCGGGAACCCGGGAGGCGGAGCTTGCAGTGAGCCGAGATCTGGCCACTGCACCCCAGCCTGGGCGACAGAGCGAGACTCCGCCTCAAAAAAAAAAAAAAAAAAAAAAAGAAATCAGAGCACAAATCTGGGCAAAAGGAACTACCCTAGCTTGGTTACTAGAGGGAGAAAAGGCTTGCCACCAGGAGGAGTAAGTACAATAAGGAAACAGACAGAGAACAGTTCCTAGAGATTTATTATAATCTGTTTCTTCTTTGGCTTTTTGCTTTGCCCCATATGCACACATAATAGAGATTTCTATAATCTCCATTCTTCTTCGGCTTTTGTTTTACCACATACACACACATACTCAAATAATCAAGTGGCCTAAACACAGAGATTATAAACCAATCAGTAAGAAATCCGAAGCCCTACCAGTCTACCCCTCCCTGACCCTGCATCTGATGTGAGGCCATACTCAAGTGCCTAGAAGGAAGACAAGCTTGAAGGATGACCCTTAATAAAGAGCTTCTAGGAAAGTTCAGAGGTGTCAGAGGAACTTGGTGCACAGCCAAAGCGCTGACAAAGGCCTAGGCGCTAGCTTTCCAGAGCAACTGGAAAATAGCCACAGCCGCCTTCCCAGCTTTGCTGTAGTAGAAAGTTAATTACTTGTTGCGTCCACACTGTCAGAATCATCCTAGAGGAAAAAAAAAAAAGACAAAGCACCTGTAGACCCTGCAAAGCAGGAACATTTGTGTTAACAAATAAACTGCTCCCTCCCTCCTGCTCTCCAAGTTTCTTTTTGTGATTTCCTAAACCACCCAACCTAGGAGGCTAATATGAAGGTTTTAACTTACTTTGGATATTAAGTAAACCAGTGCTACTTTGTCTTACATCAACAGTTTCCAGATTTTTTTTTTTTTTTTTTTTTTTTTTTTTGAGACAGGGTCTTGCTTCATCACCCAGGCTGCACTGCAGTGGCGTGATCTCAGCTCACTGCAACCTCTACCCTACAGTCTCAAGCGATCCTCCCACCTCAGCGTCTTGAGTAGCTGGGGTTATACGCTACCATGCCTGGCTAATTTTTGTATTTTTGGTAGAGACAGGGTTTTGCCCAGTTGCCCAGGCTGGTCTCAAACTGCTGAGCACAAGCGATCCTCCTGCCTTGGCCTCCCAAAGTGCTGGGATTACAGATGTGAGCCACCACACCCACCCTAGTTGCAGAATTTTAATTAATGCTATTGCTCCTTACAGCTGTAAAGATGCTCGGCAGGGCCAGGTCTTCTCTAGGATGGAGAAACAGAGTGGGAGATGGAAAGCAGGAGGGTCTTGCGAGGGTTTTCTAAAGCCTGGAGAAGAATATTAGCCTTCTTGGGCCAGGCACGGTGGCTCACACCTGTAATCCCAGCACTTTGGGAGGCCAAGGAGGGTGGATCACCTGAGGTCAGGAGTTCGAGACCAGTCTGGCCAACATGGCAAAACCCTGGCTCTACTAAAAATACAAAAATTAGCCAGGCGTGGTGGCGGGCGCCTATATTCCCAGCTACTCAGGAGTCTGAGGCAGGAGAATCGCTTGAACCCAAGAGGCAGAGGTTGCAGTGAGCTGAGATCGGGCCACTGCACTTCAGCCTGGGCGACAGAGCGAAACTCCTCCCCCATACTCCCCCAAAAAGAATATTAGCCCTCTTGGGTCAAATTCAAATTTGGTTAACAGGCACTGAGAACTACTGTGTGCTAGGAACTGGGATAGGAGCTCTCTGGTGGGTTAATTTTAAGGGCTACAAAGAAACTGAAGGGTTGAGGAGAAGGCTTTACTTACGTCCAAATCATCCATGGCAGGTGGAGGTCTCTTGGTGCTGACCTTCTGCAAAAGCTAGTGGGAAGAAAAAATAACCATAAGGGAGAAGGGAGTGAGGGAAGAACAATCTGCACACTGATGGGCCATAGAAGAATGGCTGCAGCCAGACCGGTCAGGCAACTGCTCCCATCTTTAAAACATCACTGGAATGAATTTGAGAAAAGTAAATTGATCCCCTTCTTAAAAAAATTTAAACACAAAGACACACACAGAGCATCCTCCTTACAAATCCATCCTCCTTACAAGATTGGAATCAGCTAGTGTTTTTATAACTGAAACCAAATAATATAACGATACAGTGTGTGATTTATTGGGAGCCAATGACTTATGATGTGAATTTTTATACTGCTAGTTTTAACTTCCCACGAAGTTGTCTGGCTCAAGAACACACACACACACACACACACACACACACACGCAGGCCAGGTTTGGTGGCTCACATTTGTAATCTCAGTACTTTGGGAGGCTGAGACGGAGCAGGCTGAGGCTAGGAGTTCCAGACCAGGCTGGCCAACATGATGAAACCCCATCTCTACCAAAAATACAAAAAAAAAAAATTAGCCAGGGGTGGTGGCACATCCCAGTGTAATCCCAGCCACTCAGGTGGCTGAGGCACAAGAATCGCTTGAACCTGGGAAGTGGAGGTTGCAGAGAGCTACTGCACTCCTGCCTGGGAGACAGAGCAGGACTCTGTCTCGAAAAGAAAACCACACACACAGGACAGGCGCAGTGGCTCTCGCCTGTAATCCCATCACTTGGGAGGCTGAGGCAGGTGGATCACCTGAGGTCAGGAGTTTGAGACCAGCCTGGCCAACACGGTGAAACTCCGTCTCTACTAAAAAAATATAAAAATTAGCCAGACGTGGTGGTGGGCACCTGTAATCCCAGCTACTCAGGAGGCTGAGGCAAAATTGCTTGAACCCAGAGGCAGAGGCTGCAATGAGCTGAGATCGTGCCATTGCACTCCAGCCTGGGCGACAGAAAACCACACACACACACACACACACACACACACACACACACAGAGAGAGAGAAAATAGGAGAACAAGAATTACAGAAAAGTGGAAAAAGCTTTTGTCAAACTTCTTCAGAATACAGGCTCCACACTGAATAAGTGAATCAATGTGTATATAATTTCAATAATATTCTTTCCTCTCATCCCTATTAAATAAACATTGCACAAAATAGATAAAGAACATCAGCATCAATGCGTAACCTGCCTAGAGAGCTTGCATATCTCTGCGTGGCCCCAGTGACAATCCTCCAGAGACATGTGTGCAGAGAAACACAAAGAATGATCAAGTGAGCAGAACACAGCAGGTACTGTCTCTCACCTCTGCATAATGTTCCACCTGAGCCAGCTCCACCTCTTCATCCCCTTCCCAGTCTCTCCAGTTATCAAAGTCCACAGACAGCCACACTGGCTGCAAGAAGAAGCGCCAAGAGTCACAGGCCCGGAGGGCAGGAGCAGGAGTGTGTGGGAGAGTGTGAGCATATGCATGGGAGCACACTTGGGGAAAAGAGGGTCAGTAGGTCCATAGTCCTCCCAACTGCACCCCTTTGACCAGCCCCCTCCAGGTTCCCATGTCATCATCATCATTCACAAAGATTTACCATGAACCTGCTAATCTACACACAAAGCTAGGCATGATAGGGTCTGAAAATCTCAGAAGTCCTACCCTCCAGCCAGGCAGGGTGGCTCATGCCTATAATCTCAGCACTTTGGAAGGCCAAGGCAGGAGGATCACAAGGTCAGGAGTTTGATACCAGCCTGGCCAATATAGTCAAACCCCATCTCTACTAAAAGTACAAAAATTAGCCAGGCGTAGTGATGGGCGTCTGTAGTCCCAGCTACTTGGGAGGCTGAGGCAGGAGAATCGCTTGAACCCGGGAGGCAGAGGTTGCAGTGAGCCAAGATCGTGCCACTGCACTCCAGCCTGGGTGACAGAGCAAAACTCCATCTCAAAAAAAAAAAAAAAAAAAAGAAGAAGGCTGGGCATGGTGGCTCACGCCTGTAATCCCAGCACTCTGAGAGGCCGAGACAGGTGGATCATGAGGTCAGGAGTTCAAGACCAGCCTGGCCAACATGGTGAAACCCCATCTCCCTATTAAAAATGCAAAAATTAGCCGGGTGTGGTAGTGGGTGCCTGTAATCCCAGCTACTCGGGAGGCTGAGGCAGGAGAATTGCTGGAACCCGGGAGGTGGAGGTTGTAGTGAGCTGAGATCGCGCCATAGCACTCCAGTCTGGGTGACAGAGCAAGACTCCATCTTAAAAAAAAAAAAAAAAAAAAAGAAGAAGAACTCCTACCCTCCAGGAGCCAATTGACTGAAGAGACAATACATCTGGAAAGATAATTGTATCATAAAGCAACATAGGAGTCAACCAACAAGACAGACATGCTGCAGCCAGGCGCAGTGGTTCACACCTGTAATCCCAGCACTTTGCAGGGCCAGGGTGGGTGGATCACCTGAGGTCAGGAGTTCGAGACCAGCCTGGCCAACATGGTAAAACCCCATCTCTACTAAAAATACAAAATTAGCTGGGCGTGGTGTCACATGCCTGTAATGCCAGCTACTTGGGAGGCTGAGGCAGGAGAATCACTTGAACCTGGGAGGTGGAAGCTGCAGTGAGCTGAGATCGTACCACTGCACTCCAGCCTGGGCAACAAGAGTGAAACTCTGTCATGAAAAAAAAAGAAAAAAGACAAGCTACATTCCATGGAGTCAGAGACGACCCTTCAAGGTCCATTTTCCAAAGTTTCCACATTTATACAGGGAAGAAGTTATTCACTCCTTCATTCAAAAGATATTTATTGGTCAGGTGCAGTGACTAACACCTGTAATCCCAGCATTTTGGGAGGCCGAGGCAGGTGGATCACTTGACATCAGGAATTTGAGACCAGCCTGGCCAACACGGTGAAACCCCAGGTTGGAGTGCAGTGGCATGATCTCGATTCACTGCAACCTCCGCCTTCCGGGTTCCAGTAATTCTCCTGCATTAGCCTCCAGAGTAGCTGGAATTACAGGCACGCGCTACCATGCTTGGCTAACTTTTGTATTTTTAGTAGAGACGGGGTTTCACCACGTTGGCCAGGCTGGTGTCAAATTCCTGACCTCGTGATCTGCCCACCTTGGTCTTCCAAAGTGCTGGGATTACAGGAGTGAGACACCGAACCTGGCCCCCGCCCTTTTTTTTTCTTTTTTTTGAAACGGAGTCTCACTCTATTGCCCAGGCTGGAGTGCGGTGGTGAGATCTCAGCTCACTGCAACCTCTGCCTCCTGGGTTCAAGCAATTATCCTGCCTCAGCCTCCCGAGTAGCTGGGACTACAGGCTTGCACCACCACGTCCGGCTAATTTTTTGTATTTTTAGTAAAGATGGGGTTTCGCCATGTTGGCCAGGCTGGTCTTGAACTCCTGACCTAAAGCAATCCACTCACCTCAGCCTCCCAAAGTGCTGGGATTGTAAGCCACCTCTCCCAGCCTCCCATTTTTCAACAGAAGCTTATAGTCTGGATTTTTACAAGATGCACATTTTTAAATGTTAGCAACTAATAAAAAATTTTTAACATCAGTAATGAGTCAAAATATTTTCTTTTTCTTTTTTTTTTTGTGATGGAGTCTCGCTCTGTTGCCAGTACTGCACTCTCAGCTCACTGCAACCTCCGCCTCCTGGTTCAAGCGATTCTCCTGCCTCAGCCTCCCAAGTAGCTGGGATTACAGGCACGCGCCATCATGCCCGGCTAATTTTTGTATTTTTAGTAGAGATGGGGTTTCACCACGTTGGCCAGGCTGCTCTTGAACTCCCGACCTCGTGATCTATCCGCCTCGGCCTCCCAAAGTGCTGGAATTATAGGCGTGAGCCACCGCGCCTGGCCAGTTTTTTTTTTTTTTTTTTTTTGAGATGAAGCCTCGCTCTGTCGCCCTGGCTGGAGTGCAGTGGCATGATCTCAGCTCGCTGCAACCTCCACTTCCCAGGTTCAAGTGATTCTCCTGCCTCAGCCTCCTGAATAGCTAGGACTACAGGTGTGTACCACTATGTCCAGCTAATTTTTTGTATTTTTAGTAGAGATGGGGTTTCACTGTGTTGTCTGGGCTGGTCTCGAACTCCTGACCTCTAGCAATCCACCTGCCTCCGCCTCCCAAAGTGCTGGGATCACAGGTGTGAGCCACCACACCTAGCCTTAAAATAATTTTTGACAATGTAAAGATTAAAACAGGCTAGGCAGGGTGGCTCACGCCTATAATCCCACCACTTTGGGAGGCCGAGGTGGGTGGATCACGAGGTCAGGAGATCAAGATTATCCTGGCTAACACGGTGAAACCCATCTCTACTAAAAATACAAAAAATTGGCCGGGCGCGGTGGCTCAAACCTGTAATCCCAGCACTTTGGGAGGCCAAGACGGGCGGATCACGAGGTCAGGAGATCGAGACCATCCTGGCTAACACGGTGAAACCCCGTCTCTACTAAAAAATACAAAAAACTAGTGGGGCGAGGTGGTGGGCGCCTGTAGTTCCAGCTACTCTGGAGGCTGAGGCAGGAGAATGGCGTAAACCCGGGAGGCGGAGCTTGCAGTGAACCGAGATCGCGCCACTGCACTCCAGCCTGGGCGACAGAGTGAGACTCTGTCTCAAAAAAAAAAAAAAAAAAAAAAATTAGCTGGGCGTGGTGGCAGGCACCTGTAGTCCTAGCTACTCAGGAGGCTGAGGCAGGAGAATGGCGTGAACCGGGGAGGCAGAGTTTGCAGTGAGCCGAGATCATGCCACAGCACTCCAGCCTGAGCGACAGAGCGAGACTCCATCTCAAAAAAAAAAAAAAAAAAAAGATTAAAACAAATCTGAGAGCCAGATCCAGCTATCAGGCAGTCAGTTTTCAACCTTTAAAGAGGATACATTGGAGGGCCTTAAGTGGGAGAGTGTCAGGGTCAAATGTGTGTTTTAGACAGACCATGCTGGGGGCAATGCAGAGGATGGACTGAAAATGAGACTGAAAATACCCAACAAACTTCTCACCATATGTTGGATGAGGCTTGAACTAGGAAGAAATTAAGTAGTGAATTCATTAATATTTAGGAGTCAGTAGAGCCTGGTTATAAGCCACTAATAGCAATAATAAGATTAATCAGGGGCAGGTATGGTGGCTCATGCCTGTAATCCCAGCACCCTGGGAGGCTGAGGCAGGCGGATCACCTGAGGTCTGAAGTTTCAGACCAGCCTAGTCAACATGGCGAAACCTCATCTCTACTAAAAATACAAAAAATGGCCAGGCACGGTGGCTCAGGCTTGTAATCCCAGCACTTTGGGAGGCTGAGGCGGGCGGATCACCTGATATCAGGAGTTCAAGACCAGCGTGGCCAACATGACAAAACACTGTCTCTACTAAAACTATAAAAATTAGCTGGGCATGGTGGCGGGCACCTGTAATCCTAGCTACTCAGGAGGCTGAGGCAGGAGAATCACTTGAACCCAGGAGACAGAGGTTGCAGTGAGCCGAGTTCACGCCACTGCACTCTAGCCTGGGTGACAGAGGGAGACTCTGCCTCAAAAAAATATGAAAAATTAGCTGGATGTGGTGGCGCACGCCTGTAATCCCAGCTACTCAGGAGGTTGAGGAAGGAGAATTGCTTGAATCTGGGAAATGCAGGTTGCAGTGAGCTGAGATGGTGCCATTGCATTCCAGCCTGGGCAACAAGAGAAAAACTCCATCTCAAAAAAAAAAAAAAAAAGAAAGAAAGAATAAGACTGATCAATTAATTTCTACAGTGGAAACTACTGGGACTGGAATATAAAAAAACAAGAGTTGGCCGAGGCCGGGTGCCATGGCTCATGGCTGTAATCTCAGCACTTTGGGAGGCCGAGGCAGGCGGATCAACTGGTCAGGAGTTTGAGACCAGCCTGGCCAACATGTTGAAACCTTGTCTCTACTAAAAATAGAAAATTAGCCGGGTGTGGTGGTGCATGCCTGTAATCACAACTACTCGGGAGACTGAGGCAGGAGAATCTCTTGAACCTGGGAGGTGGAGGTGTAGTGAGCCGAGATCATGCCATTGCACTCTAGCCTGGGCAACAAGAGCGAAACTCCGTCTCAAAAATAAAAAAATAAAATAAAAATAAATAAGAGAGACTAATACAGCTGGGAAAAAAAAGATTAGGCAGGACTTGGTGAGTGATTGAATGTTGGCTGGAAAGGAGGCAACAACGATCCCAGCTCTAACCTGGGTGCATGGAGAGAAAGAGCAGGCCACTTTCCATACACCTACCTTGATATCCTCCTTGGTAAGCCGGGGCCAGGCCACCTTTTCCTTCCATTTCCTCACAAAGCAAGTAATAGAGCGGGAAGAGCGCTTATCCTGGGAGTCCTGCCAGATAGAGAGCCTCATTCTTAGGGTCTGGGGTTTAGAATTAATCTCCAGTTTCCCTGGGCAGCCCGGTTTCCATCCAGACCTTACTGTCCCATCTCACCCTTACCTTGGAGTTCACTTTGGCATAGAACTCAATCTCATTGTACAACTCCACTCCATCGTCATTCTTGCAGCTGAGGAGACAATGAAGCTGAGGAGATGCAGAATACTCTGTGTGGGGACATTAGGAGAAGAGGGAGGTTCCTGGGAAGCCAGGCCCTCAGAGGTGAGGGCCACTACCTGAACACAATGCGGTGATCCTCAATAAGCACGTGGACATCGGTGCTGTCCTCAACACAAAACTCCATGAACACATACTTGGGTCTGTCATACCACAGGGTCCGGGCGTGCTGCCTAAAGAGAAGTTGAGTTGGGGCTTCATAGGGGTGGGAGAGGGAAGACTGAGGGCATTTGGGAAAGATGGAAGCAGGAGACTACCCAGGGATGTTTGATGCCACAGTTTTTTCAAAGTGGAGCTAAATGAGACAGAAGGGGTGAAAGGGAAGGGAATGACAGGAGTGGGTGGGTGTGGTGAGTGTGAACCTGGGAAGAATAGAACGTGCCAGACTAGGAAAGTAGGAGGTGACGGAGAACATTCAGGTCACACCTTCCTTCACCCCACAGTTACAGAGACCAGGGGTCTGGGGCTCCCATGGGGCCTCACAGAACCTGGAGCGCCCAGAAGACCTGGAGCAGGGAATCTCCAGGGAAAAGGGCCAGGGGGAGCACCGGAGCCGGAAACACTCACCGTGCCATTGCGGCTCCCGCTCCAGGGTGGCATTTAGAGTTCCAGGCAGGGGCCGCTATCTTTAGATCCTGGGGACGCCCCCAGCAGCTGCCTCCCCTTATATGGTCGGGAAAACAGTTGAGAGGAACAGAGAACATGACCTGGCAGCCAAGGGATCTGCACTCTGGAGATACTCTGGGAGAGCTTAATCCTTGCAGCCCTTCACCCTGGGGTCTTCAGAAACGCACAGACTAGGAATAGACAATCCATCTGCTGGAACCAGGGCAAAGGCTGCCCTAGACGCTACACGCAGGGAATGACTTTTCCCCGGTATCATTCACCTGTTTCTCCAAAGCTGTGTGCTCAGTGTCTGATTCACAATAGGTGCTCAATAAAACATTATTGTCCTGAATTAAATCCCCTGGGAGAGGGCACCCTCGGGGACTTCGGAACTTCAGGCTCCGCCCACCACTCCTCTGGGGTTCAGGCCAACACGCCGTTGCCATAGCAGCAGGGGGGGCGCGGCTGACGTGCTGCGGGGTTTCCGGGAAGATGGCGGCTGTCGAAGCGGCTGCAGAGCCGGTAACGGTGGTGGCGGCTGTTGGGCCAAAAGCAAAAAACGAAGAGGAGGAGGAAGAGGAGCCGCTGCCACCGTGCGAGGCGGTGCGCTGGGCCCCAGTGGGGGCGGTGGCGGAGGCCGGGCCTGGAGCAACTGCGTTTTTCGAAGAGACGGCGGCCGAGGAGCCTGGCGCGGTCCCGGGCTCCCCGCCGGATTCTCCGGGCCGGACGCTGCGGCGGCTGCAGGCAGAGCGGCGGCGGCTGGACTCGGCGCTGCTGGCGCTGTCCTCGCACTTCGCGCAGGTGCAGTTCCGCCTGCGACAGGTGGTGCGCGGGGCGCCGGCGGAGCAGCAGCGCCTTCTGCGTGAGCTCGAAGACTTCGCCTTCCGCGGCTGCCCTCACGTCCTAGGTTACGAAGGGCCTAGCGACCCCGCCAGCGATGAGGGCGATGGGCTGCCAGGAGACCGGCCACGGTTGCGGGGCGAAGACCAGGTGAGTGATCGGAGCCGGGCCGCGAGGGATATGGGAATAGGGGGGTCGTGTGGGTGGCGATCCAGACCCGGATGATGGTGCATGAGGGGAGAAGCCTCCCCGACTCGGTTGGTGAGTACATGTGTCGGAGACCAGGAGACTGGAGTGCGGGGCTGGCTGAAGGGCAAGAGGACAGAGGCCTGGGAAACTGAGGGTGAGCGGTGTGCACGAAAGATGTGGAGAGATGCCGGTGCGTGATGACGTGAGGGGTAGAGGAGCGGTGAGCCAAGTGAGTCGTTGAGAGGGTAGCAGAGCAGCCAAGAGCAGTGCTGCGCCCACTCACCTTTACCTCACATATTTTAAGTCTTGAACACTTATGCTGCTAGAGGACCCGGACTCTGGGGATTGGGAAAATTGGCAAAGGAAAGGACAGTGAGTTGGAATCCATGGAAATTTAGGTTAACTCCCTGTCCCTGCTTTCCTGAAATCAGTCTTTACACTTTTCTGGGTGGGAGTTTGGGTTAACAGCAGGGTCTCTTAGTAACTGAAATAAACACAACTCTTGATTATATAAATTTCCTAATGTTGGAATTTTTTAAGAGACGGGGAGTCTTGGTATGTTGCTCAGGCTGGTCTCGAACTCCTGGTCTCAAGCCATCCTCCCACCTCAGCCTCAGGACTACAGGCGTGCGTTACCGTGCAGGCTATAATGTTGACATTTTTAAACTCTTCCTCCATCCTGCTGAATCATTAGGTATTCTGAATAAGGTCCTCTGGTAACTGACAAGATCGATTCAGTGTGCCTACCCCAAAAGTAGTGAAACTATGTATAAGACACCAGGTAAACGTTTCCTTACAAGCTTTGCATCTCTGGAAGTGCACAAAGTGCTGACTTTATTGGAAGTATTGAGGTACACTGCCTTTTCACTTTATTTATTTATTTGTTTGTTTATTTTTGAGACAGGATCTCACTCTGTCACCTAGGCCAGAGTGCAGTGGTGCAATTTCGGCTTACTGCAACCTCTGCCTCCTGGGCTCAAGCAATCCTTCTGCCTCAGCCCGCCCAGTATCTGGTACTACAGGTGTGTGCCACCACACCCAGTTAATTTTATTTTTTGTTAAGACGGGGTTTCACCACGTTGCCCAGGCTGGTCTTGAACTCCTGAGCTCAAGCGATCTGCCTTCCTTGGCCTACCAAAGTGCTGGGATTATAGACGTGCGCCACCATGCCCCGTCCCTTTTCACCTTTTTATTCTTCAAACTACAATCTACTTGTGGCTTTCTTCCTACTTACATTGGTTTTAGCCAAGCAGATTTATCAAGCAGATAATGATCTGTTTATTTTAATCTGAACTGTTTCCAGTGCAATCCTGTGTTTACTGTTCCACCCTTCTCGGTTGGTGAGTATGTGTGTCGGAGACCAGGTACCTACAATTCCTTACGCAAGAAGCACCCACCTCAAACTGCCAGATTTAAGGGCTAGAAAGGAGTGGACAGCACCAAAGGTTCTACGTGATAAGAAACTCTGTTCATTTTCACCTTCAGGAACAGTAGGCCAACCCCATTTTCCATGGTGTGATTATGACACATTGCATGCCTGTAGCAACATCTCATGTACCCCATAAATATATACACATATTATGTACTCATAAAAATTAAAAACTAGCTGGGCGCGGTGGCTCACGCCTGTAATCCCAGCACTTTGGGAGGCTGAGGCGGGCAGATCACCTTAGGTCAGGAGTTCGAGACCAGCCTGACCAACATGATGAAACTCCGTCTCTACTAAAAATACAAAAAAAAAAAAAAAGATTAGCCAGATGTGATGGCGCATTTCTGTAATCCCAGCTACTGGGGAGGCAGAGGCAGGAGAATGGCTTGAACCTGGGAGGCGGAGGTTGCCGTGAGCCAAGATTGCGCCATCGCACTCCAGCCTGGGCAACAAGAGCGAAACTCTTGTCTCAAAAAAATAAATAAAATAAAATAAAAAATAAAAGGTAGACTGGGTGCAGTGGCTCATGACTGTAATCCCAACACTTGGGGAGGCGAAGGCTGGAGGAGGATCACTTGAGCCCAGGAGTTGGAGGCTGCTGTGAGCTATGATCATACCACTATGCTCCAGCCTGAGTGACAGAGCAAGACCGTGTCTCAAAAAGAAAAACAAACATTGTACCATCTTAAAAAAAAAAAAAAAAAATAGTGTTTAATTCACCTACAAGTTGTAATCTTGTATGTATACATTGACAGGTGAACAGGTAGGACCAGAGTAGGAGATATCATTGAACTGAATGATTTACTTCTTACCACTTACCTTTTTTTCTCTCTCTCTCTTTTTTTTTTTTTTTTTTTGAGACAGGGTCTCACTCTGTTGCCCAGGCTAGAGTGCACTGGCATGATCAGGGCTCACCGCAGCCTTGACTCGCAGGCTCAATAGATCCTCCCACCTCAGCCTCTCGAGTAACTGGGACCACAGGCGAGCACCACCATGCTCTGCTAGTTTTTTATATTTTTTTGTAGAGATGGGGTTTTGCCATATTGCCCAGGCTGGTCTTGAACTCCTGGGCTCAAGCAAGCCACCCACCTTGGCCACCCAAAGTGCTGGATTACAGGCATGAGCCACTGTACCCAGCCAAATTTTTTTTTCCTTGAGACAGAGTCTTACTCTGTCACCCAGGCTGGAGTGCAGTGGCACCATCTTGGCTCACTGCAACCTCCGCCTCCTGGGTTCAAGCGATTCTCCTGCCCCAGCCTCCCAAGTAGCTGGGACTACAGGCACCCATCACCACACCTGGTTAATTTTTGTATTTTTAGTAGAGACAAGGTTTTTGCCATGTTGGCCAGGCTGGTCTCGAACTCCTGGCCTCAAACTCCTGACCTCATAATCTGTCTGACTTGGCCTCCCGAAGTGCTGGGATTACAGGCATGAGCCGCTGAGCCTGGCCCTAGATTTTTATTTTCCACTCTTTTGCCCAGGCTGGTATGCAGCAGCATGATCACAGCTCACTGCATCCTCCACCTCCTGGGCTCAATCCATCCTCCCAGCTCAGCCTCCCAAGTAGCTGGGACCACAGGCGCACACTACCATGACTGGCTAATTAAAAAAAAAAATTTTTTTTTGTAGAGATGGGGATCTCCCTATGTTGCCCAGGCTGGCCACTACACCTGGCCCCCGATTTTTTTTTTTCTTTTTTTGAGACAGAGTCTGACTCTGTCACCCAGGCTGGAGTACAGCAGCACATCTCAGTTCACTACAACCTCTACCTCATAGGTTCAAGCTATTCTCCTGCCTCAGCCTCCCTAGTAGCTGGGACTGCAGGCATGTGCCACTATCCCTAGCAAAATTTTGTATTTTGTGTAGAGACAGGGTTTTGCCATGTTGGCCAGGCTGGTCTCGAACTCCTGACCTCAAGTGATCCACCCACCTTGACCCCAGATATTTTAAACCAATATTTTCTCTTATCTTACTTCATACTGGAAATGATTTATGTTATTTCCTGCCTTGCACCAGAGCTCATTGTTCTCTCTTGTTTGCCCACACTCCAGCAAATAGCATACTGTAGCTACCATGGACTTGGTCATGAAAATGTAATCAGAATTTATGGCTGATTTCTTTCTTCCCTGACATCATAAAGTTGGGAAACAGTGAGAACAAAAACAAAGACTTTTCCCCAGTTCTTTCTCCTTGGGCTGGTTAGACAACTTTCTCCACTCAGAGGTCATTATTTGGAATTTGTCATTCTTTTCTTTAACTTTTTTTTTTTTGTTTTTGGACACAGAGTCTTCCTGTGACACCCAAGCTGAAGTGCAATGGCATGGTCTCGGCTGCCTCCAACCTCCGCCCCCCAGGTTCAAGCCATTCTCCTGCCTCAGCCTCCCAAATAGCTGGGATTACAGGCACGTGCCACCACACTGGGCTAGTTTTTGTAGAGACGGGATTTCACCATGTTGGCCAGGCTGGTCTCGAACTCCTGACCTCAGGTGATCTGCTTGCTTTGGCCTCCCAAAGTGCTGGGATTACAGGCGTGAGCCACTGCGTTCGGCCATACTTTCCTTAATTCAGTTCGGTGACATACAACAAATGCATGTTGAAAGCTTATCTTGTGCCAGACACTGTGCCTGGCATTTGTGGTTCAAAGTCAAAACCTTTGTCCTTAAGGAGTTCATAGACTAGAAGAGACAGAATCCTAAACAAATAATATGATATGAGCTAGACTAGAAGTGTGTACAAACTCTAG